TTGAAGAATTTTAGTAAAATTATTTTATTATCAATCACATCTTTCTTAATGGTTATAATCAATCGGTCAAAAAGTTCATGAAAATCTTTTTCTATCTCATGTTTAATGAATTAAGAGTCACAATATTATTACGTTAGGTCCATCAAAAATCCAGTAGCCAATTAAATTCTCACGTCATTCGCAGCGAAAAAAAGCCGTAGAAAAGACCAAGAAAACGCTCCATAATTACATAGCACTACAAATGTGTAATGATAGTTGTTATTTAATAAAACTCAATGATTTCGGCCAAATTTTCATTGAAATTTTGTACTCAAACTATGTATGAGCATCTACAAATATTTAAAATTGTTAATCATCATTTTCTCTCGATCAAATTTCTTCTCGATATATTGCATGCGAAATCTTTGCGACTGCCATGTGCTTTCTCTCAGTGGGTTAAAAAATTTGATTAATATTTGTCCCATGCGAAATCGTTGCGATCTTTTATTCGTGAACGATTTCTTTGTGTTTGAATACATGCAATTTTTTCCAAATTTTTTTCCCGCACTTGTCACATACGAAATCTTTTCCACCTTCGTGGACTGTTTTATGGTGAATGAGCGAATTTTCTTTCTGACAAAATTTTTTCTCATACTTATCGCATGCATAATCATTGCAACCATCGTGGACTACTTTTTGGTGTTTTATTAAATTGACTATAAGCACAAATTTTTTCTCACACTTATTGCTTTCGAAATCTTTACATCCGTCGTGTACTATCCTTTGGTGAGTAAGCAAATTCGATTTTTTTGTATATTCCTTTTCACTCTTGTCGCATGCAAAATTTTTTCGATCCTTATCACATATTCGGTGGTGAAAATGATTTTAATATCATAGCATTTTTACGCGTAATAAATTATTTCTGTATGCTTCTAATTTTTTTGCAATAAAGTCTTTCTCTGTTATCTCTGTCATTTTTTATTAATGAAAAAAGTAGAAAGACACGACTTACTCGGCGTGATGGACCAAGGCGAAATGACTATATCTAGGCGCGTGCATATTGTGACACGTTCACTTTGCCAATATTTTAGGATGCACGCGATATATGTGTCGTTTACGAACTCATGAACACGTGTACCTTACCAACTGAATAACTGATGTGTGAGAAAGATGATGTATGAGTGACAAGCACAGTTTACACACGTGGTAGTCGAAAGTTTCATGATTATTTATAATTAAAATGCAAATGACGAATATGAAAGTGAAGTTACTGATGGCTTACAAATATAAACATTCAAACAAACGCCACATTTGCGTTTTTCCGCTGAAAAAAGTATATGAACGACCGACGCGAGATTCCAACCAATGATGAAGCGAGGCGCAGTTTCTCCTCGACCAATGACGGGACGAATAAAACGACTTCACATGATTTTTTTAAAGAAGGATTTGAAGGAATTGATTTTATTTCAGTTTTACTATTAAGTTTTATTTTTGTAACTGTCTCAATAGATTTTAAACGCAGTTAATGAGTCACGTTTCAATTTCTCTTTTAGATTTAGTAAAAGAATTTTTTAGAAAATAAAGTCACTACTCTTTAACTGATTTTGGAATTGTGAGCATTTGTAATCGAAAAAATAGAACAATATTTTGCTTATCATTTATGCCGACACAGTCATTTCAGTTTATGCGAATGATGAATTTAGATTTTCGAGACCAGCTATTTTTGATATTTTTGATAAGTAGGCGTACTTATGATAATGAGATATAGCAGATTTTCCACTATAACTTAGTTTCCTTTTCATTCAGGACGTAATTGGAGGTTCAGGTAAAACTCAATTGTTTCTGGCATGATTTTGAATAAAATTTCAGAAAAATATCCATGTAAGTATCTATATATTTTTACAATTGTTAAAAAATAAAGTTAGCACAAGACTGGCTCATCCTCAGACCCCCTTGTAAGATTCGCCCAGTAAAACTTTTCTGAACTCGATGTACAATATTTGAAGAGTTAATGTATTTTGGAATTTACTATTCATACTTAAGAAACCTCGTATTTTTTCATAACCTTGAGACTTAATATCTTCTCACATTCGTCACGTGCGAAATCCTACTGATCTTCGTGTGCTGTTTTTTGGTGGTAGAGTAAACTCGGTTTTTGTCCAAATTTCTTCTCGCATTTGTCGCAAGCGTAATTTTTGCGACCTTCGTGAACTGTCTTTTGATGGTAGAGTAAACCTCCTCTTTTTGTAAATTTATTCCTGCACTTGTCGCATGCGTAATTCATACCACTTTCGTGCACTGCTATTTGGTGCTTCAACAATTGTGATTTACTTCCAAATGTTCTTTCGCACTTGTCGCATTCGCAATCTTCGCGATCTTTGTGTATGATCTGTTGGTGAAAAACCAAATGACATTTTTGTCCAAATTTTTTCTCGCATTTGTCACATGCGAAATCCTTGCGACCTTCGTGGATTGTTTTTTGGTGCATTATCAAAGCTGATTTGAATCCAAATTTCTTTTCACACCTGTCACATCTGTAATCTTTGCAAACTTCGTGGACTGATTTTTGGTGCGTCGACAAATCGAATTTACTTCCATATTTCCTTTCGCACTTGTCACATGCGAAATCCTTGCGACCTTCGTGGATTGTTTTTTGGTGCATTATCAAAGCTGATTTGAATCCAAATTTCTTTTCACACCTGTCACATCCGTAATCTTTGCAACCTTCGTGAACTGATTTTTGGTGCCTCGACAAATCTAATTTACTTCCATATTTCCTTTCGCACTTGTCACATGCGAAATCCTTGCGACCTTCGTGGATTGTTTTTTGGTGCATTATCAAAGCTGATTTGAATCCAAATTTCTTTTCACACCTGTCACATCCGTAATCTTTGCAACCTTCGTGGACTGATTTTTGGTGCCTCGACAAATCTAATTTACTTCCATATTTCCTTTCGCACTTGTCACATGCAAAATTTTTGCGACCTTCGTGAACGTTCCTTAGGTGTGTTAGTAAATTCGATTTGCGTGCAAATACCTTCTCACACTTGTCACATGCAAAATCTTTACAACCTCTATGAACTGCCTGTAGGTGGATCGGCAAACCCGATTTTCCTCTATAATTTTTATTGCATTTGTCACATATGTAATCTTTGCGACCTTCATGGACTGTGATTTGGTGCTTAATCATCACCGATTTACGTCCAAATTTTTTTTCGCAATTGTCGCATGCATAACCTTGTTGATCTACATGGACCCCTTTAAATGTCTTTTCGGACTTGTCGCAAACGAATTCTTTGCGACTGTCATGTACTGTCTTTAAATGCAAGAGCAAGCTATTTTTTGTATCAAATCTTTTCGCGCACATTTCGCATAAGTAATTCTTGAGAACTTCGTGGAATATCTTTTTATGCTTCAGTAAAGTTGATTTATTTTCAAATTTCCTCTCGCACTTGTTGCATGTGAAATTCTCGCGATCTTTGTGTACCAATTTCTGGTGCGTAGTCAAACTCGATTTAATCTTAAACTTTTTCTCGCACTTGTCGCATACAAAATCTTTGTGGACTCTGTGTTCTGATATTTGGTGCCTACTCAAATGACTTCGGAACTCAAATTTCTTTTCGCATTTGTCGCACGAGTAATCTGTCCGTTCATTGTGAATTGTGTCTCGGTGTGTTATCATACTTGATTCTAGTGTAAATGCCTCCTGGCAAATATCACAAACGTATTTTGTGTCGTCTGCAACAACAATGTCGTGTTCACTTAAATTATCGATCGAATGAATTTCTTCGGATTTTTCATCACTTATATCCATTTTTGTGGTTGAATTGAACGAGGGATTCTATTTAGTGCTCCGAAAAATTAATAAGTACAATTGATCTCTTGATATTATGTCTTGTTTCATCACGAGAGACAACATACAAGCTAATTTGTGCTCACTATAAACATGGTCAATGTATTTGAGGGACTATATAAAATCATTTATGATCATATTGTTTACAATTGAATTATCGACTTATCTGTTTGTTCATTGTGCTAACAATATTTGAAACAATTTAAAATGTTAACTTCGCGACGATTCCTTCTAGGAATTTTCTTATGGCCGACTCAAACTAATCACTTTGTATAAATTTGATTATATATTGAATAAGGATCTATTGAATCGATAATATAAGGGGTTTCTTCAATTTTAATATTTATTCGCCCTTACACACTATGACGTGCCCTATAATCCACCACCGAGGCCCAAGTAATCAACTCATCGCATTATACTCTTGGCAGAAAGTGCGTATGTTATTTATTATCGCCAGCTGTAAACCCAGAAAAACAACGTATAAAGTAATAAAGATTTAAAAAAATTAATTTTTATCCAAATGTCAGATTTATTACAACTCATTCAAATAAATCTATTTGTTATTATTCATGAGCCTGAATATATCGTAAAAATAAGAACAAGCTGCCAATAAATCGACACCGATACTTTATATAAGCAGATAAAAGATAGAACTGCTACAGGCGTTGTGATATGCATCCGCAAGCTCTCGACTCTACTACTTCGATGTCTATATATCTTTGATGCAGCTCACCGGCATTACCTATATTACGCACACGCACAAACACACGCGTGTACACAGCGACACGCATTCGGTACAGTTCTAAATTTATAAAGTCCCTTTTATACCGGCCGCAAAGTTACTCGCCGGTATATGCGCGCAGATTCGGATTTAAGCCTCTCGGCACTTCTCTCCGTTATATACATAAAACACGCGTAGAGCTAGATGATATACGTGCGTAGTACAAAACACATAGTATGGTCTTGCATAGTATGCACGAAAGCTGCACTAATAATAGGGAAGCTGCTACGGTGGCGCAGCCGAGCACTCGAGGCTTCGACGCACGTAGAGAAAATCAGCTGCGCTGCGGAGCTTTGTACTCCGTCGTCGCGGCGCACTCGTGTAAGCAGTGTTTTATCGCATCTTTGTTTACTTTCGCACGCACGCAAAGTTTCCACCCCAAACAAAATGCCCAAATCGAATTCCACGTCGGACAAGAGCAAGGGGAAAAAGTACGAGATCGCGCGCTCGGAAAAGCTCGGAAGGTTCGTACACACGAGCATGATATGATAGTTACAAAAAAAAAAAATTAAAAAAAAAAAAAAAATTGACGTCAGGTACCTGATAGCCGGTCGAGACCTGTCCGCGGGCGAGGTGCTGTTCCGCGAGAAGGCCCTGGCCGTGGGGGTGGCCATGTACGAGCGCGCCATGGTCTGCTTCGGCTGCATGCGGCCCTATAACCACGACGAGCAGTCGTCGTCCGCGGCGAAGCTGCAGTGCTGCACGTGCTCCAAGTGCGACCTGGCGCCCGTCTGCAATCGGCTCTGCGAGGTCAGTCACAAAAATCCTCTTTTTTTTTTTCGCGCACCTCGATAATTAATATAGCGTCGGTTGCGACAGACGTCGAGCGAGTCGCTACACACCAGCTGGGAGTGCGACTTCTTCCGCGAGAAAGCCGAGTTGATCGGCGGCAACGTGGCCGAGTTGCTGTCGGTGCTGCTGCACGTGAGGCTGTGTCTGCTGCGCGACCACCAGCCCGAGCTCTGGCGCCAGATCATGGCCATGGAGTCGCACCTGGACGAGCGCCGTGGTAGCCCCGTCTGGCAGGAACGCGAGCTCGGCGTCGTCTCCATACTCAGGAAGTACGGCCTCGAATCTTCCTCGGCGGATCCGGACGAGTTGCAGCGACTCTGCGGCGTCGTGGACGTCAACTGCTTCGAGCTGCGCGCCCCTTCCTCGAGACCCTATCATCAACAACGAGAGTCGAGCCAAGACGACAACTGCCTGCTACGGGGCCTCTACGCCACGGCCTCGATCATGTCGCACGAGTGTCGCGGCACCGCCTGCCTCGCCGCCGACGAGTCCTTCTCCATGACGGTGTACACGGCTGTGCCCCTGGCCCGGGGCCAGGTCGTCTCGTTCAATTACACCTCGTCGCTGGCGGGCACCCTGGAGCGCAGGGAGCATCTGCGCGAGGGCAAGTACTTCAGGTGCGACTGCCGGGTCTGTCTGGACCCGCTGGAGGCCGGCTCGTACGCGAGCTGCCTCGTCTGTCCGAGATGTCGCAGGGACTGGGTGGCAATGAGAGAGGACACTTTGAAAAACGACGAAGAGGATCCGTACGGCAGGGGCTTGGGTTGGCAGTGTCGCGGATGCGAGAGGAGGTACGCAGGGTGTTTGATCGAGAGCTCGATCGTACTGGCCAAGAGGTGGATCAGCGAGGTGGATACCGGTAGCGTAAGGGTGCGTATTGATACATACCGATTTATCTTCATTGGAATCAAAGAATCTTAATTAAATAATATTTTTTGATCAACCAGGCCATGGAACACCTACTGGACAAACTATCCTCCACCTTCCACACGAATCACTACCTCGTGCTGAGCCTCAAGCAAAAACTCCTCGCGGCCTACAGGCGCGACGTATCCTCTTCCTCGAGTTATTACAATTCGACCAGTCCCCCCGCCTCGCGCAAGACCCTCCGCAGGATGTACGCCCTCTGCCTCGAATTACTCTCCCTACTGGAGATCGTCGAGCCGGGCCTGTCGCGCCTCAAGGCCATCCTCCTGTACGAGATGCACGTGCCTCTGGCGGCGGCGGCCACTCGAGCCTACGGCGCCCGAGAGATCGGCCCGCGCGAGCTGCTCGAGGAACTGGAGCGGGCCAGGGCGCACCTGAGGAGGGCACTGGAGATGCTGCTGAACGAGCCCAGGGACACGCCCGAGGGACAGTTGGCCAGAAGGGGGCTGCAGGAGATGAGGCTGCTGCAGACCAGCGTCGAGGATGCCCGGGCTCTGGTGGAGCACGAGCGGATGGATAGCAAGGACGGGAGGAGGAAGAATAATTGTAACGCGGCGGCGGCGGTGGCTGCTGCTGCCGTTGCTTGCGGGGGAAAGAGAAAACACAAGATCGTTAGGTGAACAGAAAAAATGCGCGTGTATGATACCTGTAAGAATTTATCAAATTGAAATAAACGATTTGTATTCAACTTGCTTGAAAAATTGTAGATTTATTTTTACATGCCATTCGAACTTCAAGGGATATTTTTTGCCTCGCGCTTATACGTTTTTATCAGTCGCGAATCATCGCGCGCGTGGCCTACATCATACATACATGCATAATTGATAATGTAGTATGTATACATACTTACAGTCCAGCACTGACGTGTCGCGTGTTTATTTACCTGGACTCGCGTAAACCACGTGACGCCGCGGATTTCGCGCGATCCATAAACACGCGATTAAAACGCGACGATACCCCAGGCCGCGGCGCGTCGTCCTTGGCTCGATTGCGAATCGAACTCGCGCTTATATATATATATTATTATCACGACGGGCGCCGGGGAGACGAATTTTGCGTTGTATAGCTATACACAAGCTTCGCACGCGCGCCTAACCTCATCTGCGAGCGTTGTGTTGTGTGTGCTTTATTAAAAGGACTGCTCTGACTGCTGTGTCGCCGATTCACCGAATCCCGAATTTTGTGTACGAGAGCTTACGGAAGCGGGTGTGAAAAAAAAAAGAAAAAATAGTGATAAATGCGCCTCGACGAGCGTCCCATCGATAGATTGTTTTTCTCATTGGTAAATCATCGAGAGCGATTATTTCGGCTAATATTAGATTCTATTTTCGTGAGATATATCGATTACGAATTCAATTGTTGTTGTTCTTCTTCATAAAATCAGCGATCGTAGGTATGCTCGTTTGAAAGCCCGGAGATACTGAGAGAAAAAGGGCAAAGACAGTAGACATCCCCAGTAACGAACAAAAAATGGTCGATAATGGCTTATTCGGTTTTGCCTTTATGGCTGTCATGATTGCTGTGTTCCACTCGTCGCTGCACAAAATTGAGGAGGGCCACGTAGGGGTCTACTTCAGGGTGAGTTTTTATTCAGCTGTTTCAGAATGATCCGAGTGATCTTTGGCTCTACGTTAATTCATGATAATGTTTTCAGGGTGGTGCACTGTTACCTTACGTCAGCAATCCTGGGTTTCACATGATGGTACCTCTCATAACAACATTTCGCACTGTCCAAGTGACTCTGCAAACCGATGAGGTAAAGAACGTTCCATGTGGCACCAGTGGAGGTGTCATGATCTATTTTGACCGCATTGAGGTGGTAAATATCTTGGATGCTAATAGTGGTATGTATATAACTTTTAAAATTGTATCGCAACTCAATGGAGTTTGATCAACTTCTTTATTTCAGTATACAATATGGTTAGAAATTTTACTGCTGATTATGATAGATCTTTAATTTTTGATAAAGTTCATCATGAACTGAATCAATTCTGCTCTGTCCACACCCTACACGAGGTGTATATTGACTTATTTGACCAAATTGATGAAAATCTCAAGACTGCGCTGCAAAGAGACTTAAACGAAATGGCCCCTGGGCTCAGTATTTTAGCAGTGAGAGTTACCAAGCCTAAAATTCCTGAAACTATAAGAAAAAATTATGAGCTTATGTACATACTATTTATAATAACATTTAAATCATGTCAATAGCATAAAATTAATGATAAAAATTTCTACAGGGAAGCTGAAAAAACAAAGCTACTAATTTCAACTCAGCATCAAAAAGTTGTCGAAAAAAATGCAGAGACTGATAGAAAAAAGGCAATTATTGAGGCAGAAAAAGAGTCACAAGTAGCTAAAATTCAATATGAACAGAAGATCATGGAAAAAGAATCATTGCAGCGTATGGCATCAATTGAAGATGAAATGCATTTGGCCAGAGAGAGAAGCAAAGCTGATGCAGACTTCTATCAATTAGATAGGCAGGCGGAAGCCAACAAGTTGCTATTAACTAAAGAGTACTTGGAACTAGAAAAATACAAAGCATTATCATCAAATTCAAAAATATATTATGGACAAGATATTCCAAAAATGTTTACTCTTGGAGGATGCACTGATGAGCTCAAGTCAAGTCAACTTCAAAAGACTGATTAGATTCAATTTTCTTGTGTCAATGTGAATACTTGTACGTTTGATAAAAAAAGTTTTATTAGATAGTTTAGTTAAACATAAAAGTATTCACTTTGAACATAATACAATTAAATTATTTGATTGGAATAGTTTAATTGTGTCACAAAATGTGATACTGTATGTAAGTAATTAGTAATAATGTAAATTAACACTCCAACTTGGAACAAAGCTTCTGAAATGTGTAAAAATGTGTTTCATCTGTTAATAATTGTTTTATAATTCAATAAATTAATAAGCACAAACTAATGAACATTTTATGCAATTTTTTTGACATCATCCCAAAAGTATGACGTTTGAATTTCCCCCACCTTTTAACGCCTCTTTCAATGTAATAACTGCATCGCCAGCTGCGTGACTTGGCCCGAGTTCGCGAACTTCTGCTTCGAGCTTCTGTCAAAATAAATCCAATTTCGGCTTAATCTCGAGAAGACTGAAATTTTGAAGTGATACGCAATTAATTTTGCCATCATGTCTTCAGTAAGTTTTGAGAATAATGTTGCTCTGCTTAAATATCGATAATACTATAAGTAAAGCATTTTTAGGTTACGTTTTAAAGTGTTTACAAATATTTTATTTTGTAGATTAATTGTCTTTATTTGAGTTTTGAGATGGTAAAAATAAAATAAAATTTTATTACGATTTTTAGGAATTGAAAAAATTCTTACAAGGATTATTAAGTCGTGTGGATGGACTGCACAGTATTCTTATCACAGATAGAGATGGAGTGCCAGCGGTGCACGTTGCGAATGAAAAAGCTCCTGATTTGGCAATGAGAGCTAGTTTTCTTTCAACTTTTGGTATGGCAACTGATCAAGGTAGCAAACTTGGTCTTGGAAAAAATAATACAATTATTTGTATGTACAGTAGTTATCAGGTAAACACACATTCAAGTTGACATGTATAAATCATTTGATTGAATAACAATACACTACCTCAATTACGCTTTTCAGATTGTTCAAATGAATAAATTGCCACTGGTAGTTAGTTTCATTGCTAGTCATGATTGCAATACAGGACACATTCTTGATTTGGAAAAGAGGATTGATCCTGTACTGAATCAATTGAAAAATGCTGTTGCAGATGCTTGATAGTTACCTGTGATTTACTACAAGCAATAAGCAGTGTTGAATCAGTCACAAAAATATGTACGAAGTTCTAATTATTAATTTTCAAAAGTTCATTTGCAAAAATGAGTTTTATATTTTATATACTTATTCTATCCAATCAATTTCAAAACTCCGGGATGCAAAATTTATTTTAAAATGATAGTGATATTTTTTAAAATGAACAAATTAATGGCTTCTACATAACATAATACATCATGTAGTCTTATGTAAATATATAATAATATTAAGATGCTTGCAATAACTTTTTGAAGCAATTTGAAATTTTAAATAGTTGGAAAGTCTAAATCAATTTGCATTCCAACATCCGTCGATGATATTTTGTAAATCAGAACTTTATGCTTCATACTCTCCACAAGATGATTGAGATATTTTTACACCTTTGATAGCATTATTTCTTATAGTTTTAAATGTCTTAACGATAAGTCATGACTGTAAATAAGTAATTGATATAATGTTTTTATACAAAATATGTGATCATAGATCAAATATATCAAGTTAACAAAATTAAATGTTATCTATTTCATATTATATTTACGAGTATAAAGTAAATCGAATAATTTGATTCATAATCATAGAAGCATTGTTTTATTTTAATTAAATATTCAATACTATTTTGATATGGTACAATAGCAGAAGGTCTCTATGTCATCATTACCTTTATACTTTATTTTCTATCAGAAAAATTAATCAATTTCAAAAAATAATCTTATTAAAATAATTCTATACAATGAAACGCTTTCAAACTGGCTAATATTTATATCTCGTAGAGCAATGGCTTGCCCTCGAAAAAGTTGAGCACATTTTTGACAGCCGTCACGGCCATGTCCTCGCGCGTCTCCACCGTCTGAGATCCCATGTGTGGCAATACAACTGAAGAACAAATCAGACATCGACATTTAAAAAAGATTCTCTCATTAAAAATCGTAAAGAACTCGATTGTGTATTCGCACCTGCGTTGGGCAACTTTAACAGTTCGTGATCGACGGGCAGTGGCTCGGGATCGGTAACGTCGAGACCGGCCGCGTAGATGGTGCCGTTCTTCAGAGCTCGCACGAGAGCCTCGGTGTCGACCGTCAGTCCTCGGCCGATGTTCACGAAGACCGAGTCCTTCTTCATCTTGGCGAAGGCCGCGTCGTCGAACATTCTCGTGGTCTCCTTGGTCAGCGGCACGCAATTTATGACGAAGTCGCTCTGTCGCAGCAGCGCGTCGAGCGTCACGAATTCGGCACCGAGATCGTCGCCTATATTATTTCATTATAAAATGTTAATTGTGATTTTTACGTTCGAAGTATTTATTTATAAATGAAATTGTGTACACTTGCCGATTTTTTTCCTACTGTGTCCGGTGTACAAGAATTTGTCGATCGCGAAGGCCTTCAAGCGCTTGACGGTCTCGGTGCCGATGTCGCCGAGTCCCACGATGCCGACGGTCTTGTGGCGCAAATCGTGCCCCAGCAGCCACTGGAAACCCTTTTGAGTTTTCCCTCTGGGAAAAAAACACGATACAATCGTTCACGATCTTTATTTATTTTTCAAGAATAAAAGGAAAAAGCGAGTCTGTATATATACTGACGCCTCGAGCAATTGACGACCCTCGTGCATGCGCCTCGCCGCCATGATCAGCAGACAGACGGCGACCTCGGCCACGGCGGCCGACAGGACCCTGGGCGAGTGTCCGGCCCTGATGCCGCGCCTCTTGATCTCCTCGACGTCCAGATGATCGTAGCCGGCCGACGGCGTCGCCACGATCCTCAGCCTCGATCCTATGAAGCACGCGATTTATACGAACGAGCCAAAAAAATGTGCGGATCTGATTCGAATATATTCGTCGTATATCGATTTTTTCGACTTACCCGCGGAGTCTAGAAATTTCCCGTCCACCCGGGTGGTTCCCAGCAGCGCGTCGTACTGCTGCACTTGCTCGGCAATGTCGGCGGACTTGGGATCGGCTATCGTCACCTCGCATCTGGAAAGTCGATCGTTGCGATCGTATCGTGCATCGATGTTAACAAAAAATGCGGATTAATCGATAATTTAAAAATATACGTATATCCGAATCGACGTCCGCAGAAAAAAGAAAAAAACGTCGAGTGCATTATTCTCCTTGAAACTTGTACGTATTGCCAGCAATGTGAGTAATCACGCGCGCGGATTAAAAAACAAAAAAAAAAAAAACAAACAACAAACAGGTGAGTGTACACACCGCGCGTAAAATCCATCTAACCAAAAAAACTCCGGCCAATGCATTAAATTCTCGCGGAAAAATAATCCCAATACTTGCCAATGACGCTTACTTTGTTTTCAACAGATCGATCGCGACGCTGGGCAGATCGCTGGTCACGAGGACTCGATACATTTCGCTCATTTTTCCTCCGATGTCTTCTCTCTTCCAAATCGACTCGATATTGTGATTTCGCACGATGTTTGAATATTGACCAGGTGCGTCTCGTATTTATGCAGCAGTGGCAGCAGCAGCAGCAGCAGCAGCAGTGGCAACGGCAACGGCAGCACTGCTACTATACCTACCTCGCAGCTGAGAGACGAGTATGCCGGTCAATTGTTAAAACTCGCCTCTCCGCTGCTATAATATACGCGCAACGCACCGAGACGCGGCGCGTGATGTAACGACACAATGTTTTGAGTTAAATGCGGTTTGTGTACATTATCGTCGCGGCACCGCAGCAGCGGTCTGTAATCGACGATAAGGCTGATAAGAGGCCTCGACGGCTTCGCGATTCGAGAGCCACATTGAGTATAGTTTTGCTGATTATTCCATGCTTTTTTGGTAAATATGGTATCGGAGTGTTTCTCTCTTTCTGTTTTTTGTTTTCTATAGTTTGGGATTGTGCTCGGATGCACGTATAGATCTGCTTATCGAACCTTTTGTTTGATGGTGTAAGATAGCGCGGGGGGCCTATAATACGAACCTAGAAAGTTTCATAAACTATTTAATTTGGAGTTTGATCGGTACAAAATATTTTTGTATACGCGCGCGCGCGTAGGCGTCGAATGAAAATGTTTTAAATTTCGAGATAATGAGCACAAACTTCAACGATCAATTATCATCCATTAGTAGCGAGATTTTCGGGTCGGTAATTTATCGACGAATCCCCTCGAAGGATAAACGTTTGCTTGCGCAGATAATTATTTTACTGTTAGTTAGTTACCATTGAATTAGTTGTTTAGGCACTTTATCGTGTCTAAACATAGGCCTATAGAAAGGAGTGAATATAAGTACTAGATGAATAATATTAATTACGCTCTTTACACCCTTTTTGAAGAGAAGTTGAAGTCAGGCGATTGCACCAGATTTTCACTTTGCCTATTTATAGAAATTATGCGTAAAATTGAAATTACTTGTCTGAAAATACCATTTGATAGGGAATACGGTAACCATTCGAATAAATATGGGTCAAAATAATACTTTTTTTACAAAACCGTGCGCACGTATGTCACCGATCTTGACGCGCTTTTGGTATGTTATAGTACATGGTAAAAAGGTCCCAAGACCAAAATTTTCGATATAATAATTTATTTTGGTAGTCTGAACAATGTTAATAATTTTTTATACGTACAATTTGTTTTAAAGCACTTTCAAGAATACCGTAAAAAAATTTCATAAAAATCGGACAATTTGTTTCCGAGAGACATTATTTTAGCGCGATTTTTTCCATCGTGTGTCTGGTTATCGATTGCCACTCGATTTTCCATTTAGTCTCAGCGTTGGAAATGCTGCGTACCTAAACTGAGATTGTAGCGCTCTCAATTCACAGAGAGGGCTCGCAGCGCTGCCGTGAAAAAGACAGCAGCGCGCGCTTAAAACTTTTTCTGCGTGATGTGAATGTATTGATTGGATTGAACAATGTACATGTAGATTTTTTACTCGATAATAACATCAAGATCCTTGCATTCATCTTAGGTATACCACTCGGGGCACCAGGTCGAACTTGAAAGTTGACGATGACTATCTCCTGGAAGGCGCAGTATTGCCGCGAGAATACCGTGATATTTGAATTTTTGATTGTGACCATTTTTGGGATTCGTTTTCGCAGTAAAAATAATATGAACTTTTAGATTAAATAATGATTTATTCATTTATAAAACAAAAAATCAAATATATTTACAATTTATGTTTACAATTTATTTTTTAAATGTTCAAGTTTTTACATTTTTCGTTGTCTTTCCTTTTTGATCGATCTATTGGATTTTATTTTTACCGCATTTTTTGCGTATTTTTTTGTGAAAGTAGTAGTAACATATCCCTCTGCCGAGCCTCCATTTCCATAATCGCTATGACCCGTGGGCTGGGTGGGTTACAGTATACAAATGTATCCCCTTTAACAAAACAATCGGAATTTTCTTCATCTTCACTACTGCTGTAGTTCTTTTTTGGTGAATAACAAATTGGACTTTCATAACAAGGTTTTTTAATTGGACTGGAATTTGAATCGGTTGAGTCGGCTTCACGTTTTTGTGGAGCACTTTTTTTTGCAGACGAGCTGGCCTGCATCAAGTTGTTTGTTTTTTCACTTTCACTACTGCTATTCTTTGGTGAAGGTGGAGCAAAAACTAACTCTTTGTTTTCTTTTGCTCGCAGCTTCTCCTTTTCTGAATAGTAAGGCCAATTTAAATTGACCTCACTCCATATCTTTTTCCGAAGATCGGATTTTCTGTTCGGATGATTTGAAACGATAAGACCCATGAAAGCGTTGAAGGCCATCATTTCGCCCTCTTTTACGCCCTCCTCCTCTATCCTTCCTCTTAACATTAAGCGAGGGACGCCAATGGCAAGGAGATGAATGATCCTCTCCCTCAGTCGTACCTCCTTTAATGCTTTCAAAGGCATGGCTTGTGGCCTATTTATCATGTTCTGAAATGGAAAAAAATTTATTAATGAAAAATCATAAAAATATTATACAACAAAATAACACAAATCTAAGTTTCCATGTAATTTTCCAAAAAATTTTTTTTGTTCCTAAGGCCATAACAAAATCTGGAGACAAGCCTTTCTATCAATTTCTTAACCCGTTTCGGGCCAAACGGACGAAATTTTAGTTATTTTTTCATTCGCTGTAAAATCTGTGAAAAAATTATGTGAGAAATGTCAGAATAGTCATAACCGACGTAAAATTTTATGAACTTTTCGAATCCGGCGTCAGAATTGTCAAAAAAGTTGATGTGTAAAATTTATGAACAATTAAACAATAAAAAACACGATTTTTTTTAAAAAAAATTTGATTTGATCCGAATTTTCGAGTCGAAACAGACTTGCTCTATAGGTCTAACACGTTTTTTTGCGTCCATGGGGTGTAGGCTTGAAGGTCCAATAGTTACGATATCGAAATTTAACATGGCAGACACAAAAATGGCGCTTCGTAGAAAAAAACCGTATATGAACGAAGTCAATTTTTTTATATGTCAACCAAGCGCCTTGGAAAAAAACGTTATAGAGAAAATGTTGAATTTCGATAGCGTAACTATTGGACCTTCAAGCCTACACCCCATGGACGCAAAAAAACGTGTTAGACCTATAGAGCAAGTCTGTTTCGACTCGAAAATTCGGATCAAATCAAATTTTTTTTAAAAAAAATCGTGTTTTTTATTGTTTAATTGTTCATAAATTTTACACATCAACTTTTTTGACAATTCTGACGCCGGATTCGAAAAGTTCATAAAATTTTACATCGGTTATGACTATTCTGACATTTCTCACATAATTTTTTCACAGAGTTTACAGCGAGTGAAAAAATAACTAAAATTTCGTCCGTTTGGCCCGAAAAGGGTTAAAGTAATCTTCGCTCTTTCTCAATGAAAAGGCAGGTAAAATAGTGTTATTTTTTTTATTTTTAACAAGAAGTAAAAACCATCTTTGGAGGAAGCTCTTTGCTAATATATTGGCAGCGGTATTTAACACCTTTTGGCATACAAACTTTTTGATAACTTTCATCAAAATTTCATGAAACTTAGCCCATAAAGGAAGCTTTTCTGAAGATTTTGATTCCTATTAGAGATCCCCACCCAAGTAACTCTGATCTAAACTTTGCGCTCGTGCATGAGTGAACATCGTCTAATTTTAATGATTGTGTCAACCTCACAATATTCGTATGAAAACCTAAAAATTACAATTCATCGCATTGTTTATGTTATGTTTTCAATTTCTTTTCTTGAGAACGACTTCCAGTGGGATCTAAACTTGAATTCATATGAAAAAAATGCATTTTACGGCGTTTTCTATGCGTTTTGAAATTCAATGCATCCTATTTTTAATTTTCATATTTTAATTCCCGATAGGCCTATCAAGCATTTTAATCCAAATCATCACCAAACCTTCCTTAGAAACTGTACTTAATAAAAAATTTCACTAATAGGCGAGCGGCTTACCCTCGAGAAGTGCGGTATTTAGCGAGATACCTCTAACTCATTAACGACCGTGCAAATGTGGTACCAAAATATTTGTTACAAAATTCTACATTAAATATAATAAATACTTTTTCAATTTGAGTGGAGGAACATAAGAATAAACAAGGAAAACGGCGAAATTTTAAACTTTCTAAATTAATAACATTTTGACTTCAACTCGCAGTATCTGAGCTCGACTTTAATAATTTGCCCTGAAATTTTTACTCGATATTATACAAGTTATCTAGCAAAAAATGACGCCACATCAGTTTCTTAATATTAATAACTTCAAGTTCTCACATGTGGTCTACTTTGCATTTCTCAGCAGCTTAACGCAGACGATGAGCTATACTTTTTGGGACCGCAACACGATTTTATTAATGACCGAACTCCAGCTTATAGGGTAGTCGTACCAATCAATGACCGGGTACCGGTGAATGACCACATGATCAATTATCGATTATAAATGGAATTTACGAATTTTCATCTAATTTATAATAGTTTTCCAACACGAAACAATGTTGTACCAATAATTTTAATCAACTTTCAACTCATATAAGTTGTATTAACTACGCATAAAAAAATATTGAAAATTTTTTGTGGTCATTCACTGGTACGAAGCGTTGATTTGCATACGACCAATGAGTGACCGATTCTTTGAGAATACAATAGTACACTGAGAAAAATATTTGGCCCGATCAACCAAGGCTTCATTGTTTCAACGAAATTATTTCTTCGCGGGCAATCAATTGATTAATGTCATTGATTCTATGAAATATTCTATTAAAATTTACAAAATATTTAATAGAAACAAACTATTAATTTGAATAATAATACACGATATATAATCCAGTTAACTAAATATTTAGTTGAATTGTCAAAATAATTTAATTAATTGCAACACAATTTAATTCTAGCAATGATATTTTTTGTAAAATCAATTAAAAATTTTTTTGTTTTGATAAAATATTTCGAAAATTTTAATAAAATAATTTTTTGATTTTATTTTCTATTTAAATACAATATAAAATAAATTCTTATGTTTTGGTTTTGACTTCTTTGAACTCTTTCACACTGTTATCAGTTAACAGTCATTAATTTATCTTAGATTTACAGAAATTATTTTATTTTTTATACATAATTTTTAGAATTTTTTTACACTATTTTACATATTTTCTATAACCTAACACATTTACACGCTTGTAAACGAGAACGCGACCCT